GATATTATGATAAAGTTCCGGCAAATATAGCTACAAGTAAATTTAATTAAACGCCCATCATTGTTTAGAACATTATGAAACTGGAAAGGTTTCAAGGCAGCGATTTTTGTTTTCATAGCTATGTGGGAATCCCCTGTCTGGCAGGCCCCTTTTGAATAATTAGTAATGCTCCTCAAGGATGTACCTGCATAATCCGCTTTCTCTTTCATTCCACCAAGTGTGAGGGCGGGCACTGTTTAACCTGAGCAGTATTTGGAATATATCACAAGCATTGAAATGACATCTAAACTATTCCAAAGGAAGGGCTAATTATGAATTCCCGGAAAAAGAGCAGCGTGTTGGAGTTCAACAGTGCCTTTCATCTCAAGAGCTTATGCATGACCGTGAACTTGAGTCTCACATCTATGAGTAGGAAGACAGCCTCATAAACAGCCTCTGATTTACCCTTATGTTTTGAAGGAAGAAATTCCTCTAATAAACAAGCTGAAGAATCCCCGCATGAAATGGAACAAAAATAATAAGAATATTTTAGTTTCTTGTACATTAAGCTCTTCTGTTCCAGTATTTCTGACCCAGCCTGTTTTTTCCAACAAATGTTAGATAAAAGGTAAAAAACAAAAATAAAAAACAAAACAAAAAAACAACCATTTTCAACATCTCAAGCATCTCAAACAATTTAACTTGCACTTTTCCTTTGCGTCTCGGAAAAATCAACATGTGCTATAAACAAAAATTCAATGCATCCCCCCCTTTTTTTGAACCTTCCTTATGAGCCAGGCACTTTATGTATTAGCAATACAAAAATGAGTAAGGTGAGATTTCTTTTTTCAAGAAGTTCACATCTAAGGGAGACCAGACAGATATTAGATAATAATTAAATGTGAAAGGTTTTGTAATTGAGGTATAAAAAAGTTTCGATATTCTCAAAACTACTTTGCAAGAGACAATTGTTTTACTCTTTACACACATAGAGGGTTAGTTTGCATAGAGAAAATAATTACTTTTGCAAAGAGTACTCAATCTCAGTTCAATTTTTTGATCCTCTAAACTTCAAGAGGCAAATTCATCGAGAAAATATGATGGCAGAGATATTTTCACTTTGTAAAAAATGAATGCAATCTCATTTCTTCCTTTCTTCTCAATATTATCTTTTCATAGTTTACATAGTCTTTGTTTATATGCATAAACATTCTTCCTGACACTTCTTCTAATCAAATCCTCTGTCTTTTGGGGGATAACCCAAAGCCAGTTTCTATAAGAAATCTAAGACAGAGCTTGTCCGTGGGTATTTCTGTCTACTTCATGATTGACAATTGGTTGCTTCTAATAAATATGTGGCATTTAACCACAGCTGTCTTTTCAGCTGGATTGTCAAAGAAAGAAAAAGGGCTTGGGGCTTCCTAGTACAGTGATGAGGGAAGAAACTTATGTTGATGAGGACGGAGATGATGATGATGATGACTATAAAGGCAGCATTATGGGTAAACATTTATTAGCATTGTTTCATCAATCCTCAGCCCTGATGAGATGTGTAATGCTATTGTCTCCATTTTACAGATGAGAAAACTGAGTCTCAGAGTTTTAAAGTATGTTACCTGTTCATAAAATTTTCGGGTAACACAGCCAGGATTCAAACTTAGATTTGACTGGCCTCAGTGCGTGTTCTTAATCACACTGCTATTTGCGTTGATGTTAAATGTGCTGACAGTTGGAAGCAATTTATAAAAGGTCCTGATCAATTTAATGGGCTCATCTATTTGTCTCTGATAGGGAACTGGCTCTTTGACATAAGTGAGGAGACTTACCCGGTTCTGAACACTGATGATTATTTCCAGACTTAAGTAATTTTGTAGCTAGAAGAAATCTTACCAATCACATGCCTCTAACTTCTTATTTGAAGGGTGAAGAAAGTAGGACTCAGAGAGAGTCTCAGTGACCAGCCATGGCCAGCTGTCCTGATCATAGCTCAGTGTTCTGTCATCCCAAGCTGAAATTTTCCTCACCCTAGAAATGGGCTTATGAGAGTGAAAACTAACTAACTCTTTACAACTCAATGGCACACTGATGAAAATGACAGATAATAGATTGATCGGTCAATAGATGTGTGTATGTGTAAATATCTTCTTTGGGATGTTTGAGATATCTGAGTCCTTTGGCCTTAAATTTAAATTGTCCCCAAAAGTTTAGTATTTATTGGTGTTACTTTGTATAGTGTCTCATCTCTCTTGCTGCCTAGCTTGCTCTATTAGTTTGTCTGCTTTTAATATTCTCTTTCTCACCCGATTTGCTATTGCAAATAGTGGGAAAGCAGATAATCAAGTGTGTTAAAACCATGCTTAATATAAAAATAATTAGACTCCAAGTGAATGTGTAAGGAAACTTCATTAAGTAAGATGGATGTGTTTGTGTGTATGTATGTATGTATTTATATTTTTTAAAGATTTATTTATTTGAAGAGAGAAGAAGTAGGAAGGGCCGAAGGAGAGGGAGAAAGAGTCCCAAGCAGACTGCTCTGAGCGTGTAGCCCAGTGTGGGGCTTGATCCCATAACCGTGAGATCACAACCCAAGCCAAAACCAAGAGTCGGATGCCTAACCAACTGTGCCACCCACGCACCCCAAGGATGCGTTTTTATATGTGGTCTTTGGGACTGATTTCAACTTTTAGAAACCAGATCGTTTTTGTCTTTGTCTTTGTCTTTGCTTTTGTTTTGTTGTTTTGTTTGTTTTTTGCTCATTCTAGGGCATGGTAAAGTTCACAGATAAATCATATCTAAATAAAGATAAAAACACCTGACTACATTTCAGTGATCACATTTTCAGTTTAGAACACAAATCCTCTTTTTACATGGGAGTTTATCTTTTTTTCTATTATGGAAATTATGACTCAGAAAGATTAAAACTTTTAAAATATAACCACAGAGCTCACTCTCAGTTCCCAGATTCCTGATCTCGTTCCTTCGGGATCCAATGAACTGAGAGGTGGTGTGACTGCAGAGAAAACACCTGTCTCTACTCATAGCAATGAACCTTAATTGAGTCCCAGCCAGAGGTGATTGTTGCCACATCCTGGGGTGTGGAGTTATGAAGGGGCATCAGAGAGGTTTCCCCATCTGTCTAATCTGACTTGGTTTAAACTGTTAAACTCATAATCCAAGAGTCTGCAGGCTGCCTCTAGACAAGACCAAGCAGCTTTTCTTCATTCCTGGACACTGTGTTAGGTGAATGAAGGGCAAAGAGTAACAAAACAAAAAGTCAGAAAAGTATGACTATTTTCATGTTTCTATACTTAGACAAGATGTATTTATTACATGAAAAGATTTAGCTATTGTTGGGATCTTTGGAGGGCCAATAAAAAAAAATAAACCTTCTTTTTCTGAATTCCAAACCAGTTGAGAATTACAACCAAAGCGTAAGGCAGAAAGGGGTCATAGGTATTACCTGAATTGCTGATAAAGCTATTATCGAAGAATGTTTGCACAGACATAAACTTTAATCCTGAAACTCAATCCTGATCAGTTGTACTCACTCACAAGGGCAGGCCTATCACACCAGCAGAATTGGACGTGGGCTTCTCCATGGAAGGAGGATGGGCCCATGACCAATTCCGATTTCTCATTCCCAACTCTTCTACCTGATAAGTTGGCCCAGTTTCCCTGGAGTAGCAGGTGTGAGGGGCAGAAAGAGGCAGGGGAGTGAGACAGTGGTGCTCCCTCTACATAAAAAAACAAAAAACAAAACAAAAAAACCCAAAAATATGAGGAGTGGGGAATAAACATCCCTAAGCATTGGGGGTGTGCGTGGACATTTGAAGTCCAAGGTTTATTGTCTATCTATGGTGCTTTATATATGTTGTATAATTTAACCTTAAAATACTTTACCCCCCACCCAGCCCCAACCCTACCCTTCAAACATTGTGAAGGAGTTACTATAAATATTATTATCACCACTTAAAGGTGAGGAAGTGGCCTTAGAGAGGTTGCGTACCTTGCTCAGAAGTAAACACGGATGGTCACAAGAAGAGCAGAGTCCCATGCAGACCTATCTGACTCAGAAACCCATTCTCCCCACATCTCCAGTTTCTGGTGAACAGTTTCTCATGTGAATACATATGAAAATACTTATCCAGGGAAGTGAGATTTCTTAGTTGAAAACCATTCTGAATCTGTGTTGATGGGAATTTGGTAATTCACTGATACAAAGTTTAGACTGTGATTTTGTTAACTTTTTGGGGGGATAATTTTAAACTTACAGAAAAGATGCAAAAATAGTTCAGAGAATTCCCAGATGCCCTTACACAGCTTCCCGTAATGTAAACATCGTCTAGAATCCTAGCAAAATTACCAAAACCAGGAGATTGATATTGGTACAGCACTATTGGATACACTACAAACCTTACTCAATTTTTACCATTGTTTTCAGTATTGACTGTGACTTCCTTTGAGGACAGCAACTGTATTATATTCATTTTCATATCCACAGTGCCCATGGGCAAGTCTGGTCTGGAGTCGGTGATCAGTAGCTGTTTGTGGAATGAGTAAATGAGTGAATGGATGTTGAGCTCCATAACACAACTTCTGTGTGTTTGTGTGTATCTGAGTGCCACAGGTATAGAAACACACAGGGATTATGATCTGAATGAATGTTGTTCAGATCTAAATTCCACATTAGGCTTTGTAAAGTATAGTTCTTTAAAACTGAAAACTTTTCAAAAGCAAAAGAGTGTACTAACCAGATTGAAACAGATACAGCAGAATTCACCAAATGGGCAGAAAGCTAGAATGCTACATTCATTTTATCATGAGTGTGTGTGTGTTACTGTTTTCTCCATCATCTTTTAACCAAACTAAAAATATTAATGTGACAAAGGGTAGAAAGGCAAGGATATGGCATTACACTTGATTGGGCAAGACTGGTATGAAAAGCTGTAGTAAGAACTGATTTTTCTGAAAAAAGTTCAACTTTTTTAAAAGGTTTTAATTATTTTGTTATTGTTATTTAGATGGAAGACGTCATAGCACGCATGCAAGATGAAAAAAATGGAATTCCTATTCGTACTGTCAAAAGCTTTCTTTCCAAGATACCTAGCGTCTTCTCTGGTAAGTGTACATTCAGTGCAACCCTGTTTTCTCTAGCACCTTCGACATAACCATTTAAAATCAATTCTAGCCACTCAGTATTGAAACTCTCTCTCTAACTCTTATGAAATACCCATGCCATGTTCCACATCATGTTGGACCCTTGGAGTGATAGTAAAACAAAACAAAAAACCAAAAATCATGACCTTACTTTACTCTGGGTCAGTTGCAAAGACGTAATGAACAATGTGAAATAATAGATGATCTTAAAGATGTATGAAACAATGTGGAAGAGGTTATATATAAAAATTAGGAGGATGAGGGGTGCCTGGGTGGCTCAGTGGGTGAAGCGTCCGACTTTGGTCTCAGCTCAGGTCTTGATCTCAGGGTCATGTGTTTAAGCCCTACTTAAAAAAAAAAAATTAGGATGGTGAAGAACATCAGTCAGGAAGGTGTTCCTGAACAGCAGTGATGAACTGAGTTTGAAAAGTAAGGAGTCCTATCAGCTTCAAGACCACCAGCTGTGTGTGCAGAACTGGGGGTGACCAGGGTAAGGATGTATAGAGACAGAGATGTGCAGAGAGGCTGGAACAGACAGACTTGGGTCGGAGGATGAGGGTCTTTGAAAGTCAACCCAAGAATCTAATTCTGATGTATGGAGAATATGGAGATCCGTCATGCTCTCACAGAGTGCATTATGATGAAGGTGCTCAGGGCAAATTGGTGTTCAGTAAGGGCCATTGTCACCATGGTAGGTCCAAGTCCTGTGTAGAATAGTTTGGGTGCCAACATTCTGATATCCAGGGAGTGAAGGAATAGAGGGGAAAACATGAGCATCTGTTAAATAACTGGGCATATAGGGCTATAAGAGGACATAACCCAATGGGGTTTGGTTTTGTTTTTTAATTGGGTGACTGTGAAACTAAAGAATCAGCAGAAATAGGGAAGCCCCACAGTTTGATTGGAAGTGACTGGAGAAACCCTAGAGAAAATGGTGGTGATAAGTTAGAAATCTGTGCTCCAGCTCCCCGAGACTGGGGATGCCCAAGCTGTGGGACTTAGGCATGCCGAGCCTGGGCTAGCATGGCCTGGAGAAGAAGCAGAATCAGACAGAAACTTCACGGTGAGCGAGCAGGGTGAGGAGGCTGGGCAGAGCTTGCGGAGGAGGTGTTTGATGGGGTTCCCGAGCAAGGGTTCCATGGTGCTTCCTCGTGAACAAGAGTCAAAAGGAGAGCAGTGGTCAGCAGGCCTTCAGCCTTGCTGAGAGGGTACCTGATTAGGACCACAGAATAAGCAGGCAGGCCCGGATGTTGGTGTTTGGTGGCTGCATTGCTCTTTGTTGAATGGGAGAGAGAACAAGGAGCAGACAAACGCTGCCATAGGAAGACATTTGGTCTCCCAAAACACGCTCTTTTTCCTGTTTCTTCCTTTCATGCCCACTTTGTTTCAGTTTCTCGCTCTTCTCGGATGATGGCCTGTATTTTCTCACATCTGGGGCTTTACTCCATCTTTGCCCTTCTCACTGACTCACTTCCTGACTTCCAGGTCATTTTGACTATGACATTCTGTCCATTCTTTAACAGCTAGTTCAGAGAGCTCTTCAGAGAAAACTGCCCTGAGCCTTCATTCTCTGTGCTCTCAAAAAAACTTGTTTTTTGCTTCTCTAATAGCAGTTATTATGGCCTACTCTGTCTTACAGATATTTTTGTATAATGTCTTATATCCCCTAGGAAGTAGTAAGTTCCTTGGAGTCAGCGATGTAGAGAGTTAACTTTGTATCTAAACACAAATATGAAACTTACTCCTATTTTGATGACCAGTGAGAGAACTTACCTCCTTAGATACTGTAACGCAGAGGTTGCAAACTGAAATGCAGTCAGAATCCAGCCTGATAAATGCTGTGAGTTACCCACCCGTCTGCCCTGGGAACCGTGTTCAGGTCAGGAGTGCATGGCCTGTGTGAAGGAGTGGCAGTTCAGGAATTTTTAATGACAATATCCATAAACAAAAATGGCTGAACAAAAAAAGTTTAGCTCCTCAGATTAAGCCGGGCTGTAAGTTTGAGTTATCTGCTCTCATGGTAAATCTAAAATTTTTGGTTGAGTTCTTCAAGTAGCAATACCTCATACATTTTCCATACAGTTCCATAAAATTTCATACAGCTCCAATGTAACATCCTCCTGGAAGAACGTTTGATTGACAATATTAAGATATTAATGAAAAGGTAAGATTGGACATGTAGACAGAGAATGAACAATGAGGTTCGTTTTAATGTTCATTAACATAAAACAACAATGGTAGTTACTATGTAAAGACAATTATCAATGACAGTTTCATATTAATGTAATTAGTTTCTAATTATCATTCTGTGTTTCCTGGAAACTTTCATGAGCCCTGCCTCACAGGTTTAATTATCTGTTTTGCTGTAGATTTCATTGACATAATAGTATTATATCTAGTATTTACCAACCTCTTTGTTGTAATAGTCCCAAATTATAATGGTCTGAAGCCCCGTCTACTTCACTAGCAGTTTTTGGTCTTTTGTAGTAATTTTCCTCCCCTGATATTTCTTACAGTGACTTGGGGTTAATCCCTGTGTTCTTTTGTGGTCCCACTTACCACCTGCTGCTTGCTCTCTTGCCTCTCGGCCTCTCCTTCCCCCCTCTAGGCGTGCCTCATGTCCTAAAGAAATAATGGATCTGCTAACGTCACGCCCTTTAGCAGAACCAGAAACCAGTTGTGATGAATGAGTGATGTCATGTGTGAGAGGAGGGTGGTGTGATTGTCGGGAGTCTGTCTTGTTGTGGACTATTCCACAGGGGAAAAGGGTCTCTAGTATGGTGAATCCAGCTCTTTCCGGTTATCCACTGATGCTCCAATAAAGTCTTGATGCTCAAAACATGGTCCATGGACCAGTCGAATCAGCCTCATCTGGAAATTTATTAGAAACATAATATGTGGGCCCACCCCAGACCCACTAAATAGAACCCCAATTTTAACACTAAAGCTTAAGAATAGGGCAGCAGGGCTGGACTGGGTTCCAGGTCAACACCTGTGTTTTACCCAGGGCGCTGGGTGCAGCGGCCAACTTGCTTGTGCTGATCTTTCTAGGGCTTTCAAGGGCTCTGATTATTATTATTGTTATTGTTTTTTTAAATTTTTTATTTTCTACAATCTGGCCTCAATCAAGGCTATCCTAGGCCATTAAATGTTATTTGCTGTTGTGTTTGTTTTGCTTGTGGGAAGGAGGAGGGTTTAGGAAGAAGAATCTAGTTCCTTTACTCCCCACCCAAGAACCTCCTCAGCATCTCAGACTGATGGATGTTAACAGCCACGTGGAGGGATGGGCACTATCCAGCGACACCTGACTGCACTTATGCATAATATACATGTCATGATGGCCAAGTAATGCCCCACCTGCCCCTGGTGAGAATATGTTGAGAAAGTGATCATGCAGTCCTATCCTCTCACAACATCTGAGATCCAGACCCCGATCATGTCCAAAAATCTTATTACACAGATAATATAACTGTGATTTGGGCTTTTGGGTTTTTGTTTCTTTGCTTTACGCCCTCCTGATAAATGCATTTCTTCCAGCTAAACATCCAAGCTTTTTTTTTTAATGATTTAGGTCTTAGAACAGTTAATTTTGGCCTCCTGGTTTCTGTGGTGCCAAGATCGGGGGAAAAGTCTTCGAATGAATCCCCCATGCTGATCCTTGAACTGTGGGGTAGGACATATTTTTGGGTGGATCTGATCACATTGTTTCTCCCCCAAATTACTTTCTCACCTGCAGAAGTAGCTTGGGCAGTTCTGATGGTGGCATGTGACTGTACCCCTCCCGTTTAGGGGATGAGCTCAGTGGCAAATGCTGACCAGAGCCTGGCCTGTCAGTTCTCTTTCTTGGGATTCTTCTGTTGAGTTTCCCAAACTTCCATTCAGTGTGTGTGTGTGTGTGTGTGTGTGTGTGTGTGTGTGTGTGTGTGTGTGTGT